GGGCTGGTGATGACTCAGTTCCTGTGTATCACAGTGAAGTGGAGGTGAACTGATGAGCGGCCAATCAGAGACAGGCTGTGGACCAGGACAGAGAAGAAGAACAGAACTGACTGACTGGACTGATTGAGAAGAACATGTTCTGAAAGTTGGTCAAATCAATAAATCTGTTCTGACGTAAATTAGAGAAACCAATCAGAGCTAAGCTTGTTGGCAGGAGGGTGGGACATTGAAACAGAAATCCAACCAAAGCAAACGTGTCCAGGAGTGGAACAGTTTAAAGTCAGGGTTGACAAAATCTCAGGTCCGTGGACTGAAGTGAGGGTCCAACAAAAACCCCCCCCCCCCCCGAACCCCCCACGGCTGCTGTGAAGAAGGAAAAAAGACTGTGACAAAACGTGGTAAAGAGAGAAGATTAAAGCATGGGAGATGAGGGTGAGGGAGGGAGGGAGGGAGGGAGAGAGAGACGATAGGGAGATAATGAGGAGAGATGAACAAGGTAAGTCTGATGATTACTTCATCTTCTACACACACACACACACACACACACACAGACACACACTTCCCTTTCTATATTGTGGTTCTCCTTTCAATCCCTCAGTACATCGCAGATTTTTTTTTTGAATTCCATCTGTTTTTTTTTGGCTTTAAAAATGTGATTTCTACAAGCTGCCAAAAATACACAAAGAAGGCGCCCCCTTCAGACCAGACACTGTAAGCAGCATAAACTCGGTTACCTACAATATTGCTAAGTATCTCCAGTGGTGGAGGTCACACCACACCATATTAAAAACTCAATGGATTTCACCACTAAAATGGCTCCGATCAAACTGCTGTCATACCATGTCCCCTCACGTTTCACCACAGGCAGTAAAAAAACTGCTGCATGATGGGAACCTGAGAGAAAGAACCAACGTCTCCCCTGTTTATGTGCAGTGAGGAATGTACCAACTATCACCCCCCTACAACGCCGTCCTCAGTTCTCTCCCCAGGAACTACAGGTGAAACTCACAGCTCCATTCAGGCAACACCGACGACCCCCCACCCAGAGGACAGGGAGGGGGAACCGTCCACCATGGGGCCAACGACTCACATGACCATTTAACGGTCACTCTGTTCACTCGGCACCCCCATGGCCCCCCCTTGGGGTGGATAGATCCCTGGAGACTCCCCACCAGGGCAGGAGAACTGATGAAGCCTCATGGATGAAGGAGGAACTTCAACCTGAGGTCGGTCCAGTTGACTACTTTAAAACATCTTTGAGCTCATTATGAAACCTGTTCTAACAGAGAACCCCAGGAATCAAAGGAACATGTCGTCCATACACAGTAGAGTGTCATGGATACACGTTAGCATCAGGAGCTAGTGCGCTGCAGTGAAGGAGTGTGAAGGAAGAAGAGTGAGAGAAAGTGCTAACGCCTGAACATCAGACATGGAACAACCCCCCAGGGAGGAGCTGGCAGATCTGAACAGATCATCTGTTGGAGCGCTGCAGGGAACGGGCCAAATTCACACACACACACACACACACACACCATCAGGGCACATGGCTGAAACGTGTGTGTGTGTGTGTGTGTGTGTGTGTGTGTGTGTGTGCAGCCTGCCAATGACTGAGGACTTCAGGCTAGAGAAACAGGGAGGGAAGTCAAGAGAATAGAGAAGGGAGGGGTCAAAGGTCAAGATCTGATACACAACAGGAAAAAAACAAAAACAAACTAAAGCTATTTGTGGTCATGTGACCCACCCAACGGTGACATGTTTCCTTCTCTGTACAATTCTGGGTCGTGTCTTTTCCACCGGGTCACGACCTGCTGCTACAGTACAGTGGGTCTGGGTCAGAACCTGCGGCACGAGTTTTTCCTCAGGTTTGATTCAAAAATTCATAGTTGTGCCGACCCTCAAAAAATGGGGGCGGAGCTCAAGGCAGCCCAGGACATGATGAAACATCTGGTTACACATGAACTTGTATGTCCAAATATATTTGGCTGCAGCTGATGTTGGTGAATAAAGACCAGACAAAGATAAAGGTCCAGATCAGGGTCCCCCCCCCCCATTTGGAGGTGCGGTGGCTGTAAGTCAATCTTATTAGAGCGTTAAGTCATTACTGCATGTACACACCGGCCTCACAATGCAATTAGCCATTAGCCCATCACACTGACGAAGCAGTGCTAATTAGCAGGCGCACAGGGAGCAGAACCAAACCTATTAAATATCATGTGGAGTGTCAGACGCTGCAGTTGTTTGGAAAGTCAACGACAAAAGATCAGAGTTTGAACCAAGAACACAAGCAAACGCTGCCTGATGCACTGCCAATAG